CGCACGCGTTGTCTTAAAATATTATCATTCTCTCTCTCTTTCATATACTCGTTGTTCACTTATCTTTGCGTCGTCCTTCTTCCACCTATATGTCGTCCTTGTCCTACGTTATCAAGTATTAAGAAAATACTTGACTGTGATTGGTTAATTTTTTTACCTTGCGCATGCGCACTACGATTATAAAATTATTTATCGCAAATAATTAAGAAATTATTAACTCACGAACAATTATATTGATATATTTATAAATCACAAACGATTTTCTATCAATTACAATTATCAGTTATTAGAAAATCTGTTTATTACTAAAATGTGTCGGCTAACATCATGCTTAAAATTAAATTGTTAATTACAAAAAATCTAATTTGTCACAAACGTTAAAAACAGACTCACAATCAATCACGAACGATTTACAAACGAAATATATTCAGAAAAATTAAAAATGATCATATTTAATAATTTCGGTCGGCTAGCTTCATATAGGTAGTCTATTCTATAAGTCTATGGCCCTAAGGCTCTACTAGAGCTCTAAAGCCAGGAGCACATAAAAAAACTTAGACAGTAAACTTAAGACTTAAATGAATCGACCAATCACAGTCGAGCAATAAGGCAGCTACTGCGATTGGTCGATTCGTTTAAGTCTTAAGTTTACTGTCTAAGTTTTTTTATGTGCTCCAGGCTTCAAGCGGCGTCTACAATGAGATTTTAAGGAGGCTTAAGGCCGTGGCACATAAAAAAAAATAAGCAATAAGACTGAAGCATAAGCAAATCGACCAATCACAGTCGAGCAATATAGCAGCCATTTTAAAACTTAAAACTCAGAACGTAAGGTTGAAATATTCCACAAGGATGAAATTCTAAGTTTTAAGTTTTACCGTGAACCAATCATAAAGAAGTTACTAGACTCGGTGATTACGCAGCACTTCGATTTTCTATCTCCCGAAGAAATTGAATATTATTTATATAATATTATTTTATGTATTCCTAAGAAATTTTCCTGAAGAAATTATTATTAAACAAAAAAGTAAGTTTTGTTTTATATAAAATACAGTAATTATATAGATAGTTTAGATATCTCATTGTGTTAATGAAAGTTATAGGTTACAGAGGTTTAATAACAAGAAAATGGAACACGCATATTATTCTCAAAATTTCCCGGATGATATGAATGATCAAATCGATGAGGATGATGAAGTCCCTCAATTTGATGAAGGAAACGATAAAACAAACGATGAATTATTAATCGATGCAGTTAGAGGATATCCTCATTTGTATGACACTTCTTTAAAAGAATATAAAGATACAAAAATAAAAGAGAATTCATGGAGGGAAATCGCATCACTTATGAATATGTCAGGTAATATTTTATTATTTATTTTAATAATTTTCTGAATTTATATTTATTACATTTATATGTATGTTTGTTCATTGTAGTTGATAATTGTCAGACTCGTTGGCTACGTTTGCGTGAAAGGTTTAGCAAAGAACAACGTCTTCAAGAGATAGAAAATCGAAGTGGCAGTGCAGCTAGTCGTCGACCAATATTTATTCTTTATAACAACATGATGTTCCTAAAAAAATTTATTAGACGGAGAAAGTAAGTTTTTTAAGTCATTATAATACAGGTATATATAAACATCACATTGTTTTATACATATATGTGTATTATACAGTGCATAAACATAGTCAGTACAATATATACCAACAAACAGATATATAATTGTTATACATATGTAATATAATATGTTCGTTACATGCAACGTATATGTTAATTGTAACTACAATGCAACATATTATATTACAAATGTTCCATTTATGAGTGGGAAATTAACCTTTGCGTTGCATGTAACATACATATTATATTATGTATTATATAACAGTTATATATATTTATGTTTGCTAGGTACATTGTTATATAAACATATTGTTATATAAACATATTGTTATATATATGTATATGTACATTAATTTTAAATTTTAGATCATATACCAATGTGGTTAATTCGGTTATTAAAAAAAAAGCAGTTGACATATCAAATGTTTATACCGATAAGCACAATTTTAGTAAAAATACTTTATTGCATGCACATGTATTGCATGTAGACTCTTATTCAAATCTTTCTCTTATTTCTGACATTGTGCCCGAAGAAACACCGAAAACAAACTTTTCTCGTAATCGGCATTTTCAAGAAATAAATCAATTACAAACTGCACAGAATGCGGTAGATCGTTCTAGCACTTTACAAGAGATCAATGCTATTGAAACAGGCTCATCTGATCGATCATTACCACCATTCCGAAGATTTCAAACTGTACAGAATGCGGTAGATCGTTCTAGCACTTCACAAGAGATCAACGCAATTGAAACAGGCTCATCTGATCGATCATTACCACCATTCCGAAAATTTCAAACTGTACAGAATGCGGTAGATCGGCCTAACACCTCACAAGAGATCAATGCAATTGAAACAGTCTCATCTGATCGATCATCATCACTCCGAAGCGAATCTCGCAATTCTTTAGGTAAAATAAAAAATAAAAATATCTCACACTTGGAATCGTCCATTGTATCTCTGAGTAATACTCTTCAAACCCGGCTTGTTAATCCACCGTGTCCTACTAACAATAATCACACTGATTGGAATTTAAATAATTTAACACCAGAGAAAAGCTTTGGTTTACTAGTAGCAATAGAATTAGAAAAAATACCTGAGCCGGAAAAATGTAAACGAAAACAAGCAATTGCAGAGATTTTATGGAAACCATGTATACAATAATTTCAGTTATTTGAATGTTATGTTTAATGTGATACTTGTTTTTTTTCATGATTTATTATGTGATAATTTGGCGCCTAAGATAAATTTTTGTTTCACGTCTTTTATAATTCATATATTTTATTTCATTACATTTAGCGTCTAAGACATTTATGTTTTAAATGTAAGATATTTATATTTTATTTTTTTCATGATTTATTATGTGATAATTTGGCGCCCAAGATAAATTTTTTGTTTCACGTCTTTTATAATTCATATATTTTATTTCATTACATTTAGCGTCTAAGACATTTATGTTTTAAATGTAAGATATTTATATTTTATTTTTTTCATGATTTATTATGTGATAATTTGGCGCCCAAGATAAATTTTTTGTTTCACGTCTTTTATAATTCATATATTTTATTTCATTACATTTAGCGTCTAAGACATTTATGTTTTAAATGTAAGATATTTATATTTTATTTTTTTCATGATTTATTATGTGATAATTTGGCGCCCAAGATAAATTTTTTGTTTCACGTCTTTTATAATTCATATATTTTATTTCATTACATTTAGCGTCTAAGACATTTATGTTTTAAATGTAAGATATTTATATTTTATTTTTTTCATGATTTATTATGTGATAATTTGGCGCCCAAGATAAATTTTTTGTTTCACGTCTTTTATAATTCATATATTTTATTTCATTACATTTAGCGTCTAAGACATTTATGTTTTAAATGTAAGATATTTATATTTTATTTTTTTCATGATTTATTATGTGATAATTTGGCGCCCAAGATAAATTTTTTGTTTCATGTCTTTTATAATTCGTATATTTTTTTACTTTCATTACATTTAGCGTCTAGATAAGATAATTATGTAAGATATTTATGTTTTAAATGTAAGATATTTATGTTTTATTTGTTGAGATTGAAGACTCATCCTTATGTATATCTATCTATTACTTAGAAGAGTTAAATCAAGTTATAAAAATAAATTATATGGAAATTTATTAAAAAGGTATTTTTTATTTCAAAGCGCATTTATATATATTTATGTATTTTATTTATAATTAAATATATTATAATTAAATTCTATTACAATCCGTAAATAATTTGGTAACATAAAATATTTTTGGTACATTTTCGAATAATATTCTAACTATTAAATCATATTCAATCGTATTCAATCGTACTTGTACTATGAAGAATTAATTGAAAAGTGGTAAACTCTGTGTAAATTCTACATACAGTAAGTGTATGATATTCTTCTATTATACAAACCAAACATATGTAAAAGTTAAAATATTTAAGATTAATTTTACATTTTTTTTAAAAATATATAATTGGGTCAGAAACAAAATTGTTAGCAAATATAATTAATATTTTAAATTTCTGCGAATTATTTAGAATATGATTCATAACATTAATTAATATTCTCTATTTTAAGAACTTGAAAAAAGCGCCAAGGATTATAAAAATAGTAAAAAATATTAATACATATATATGAAAAATTTTCCTTATTCTAAATAAAAAAAACAAACATAATATTAATTCTTTACTCCATATCGGGACAATGTAAGCCTCTACGAATGTAAGAGTACTGCCATGGAACTTCACCAACAGCACTCAAAAAATAATCTGCAATAATATCCCGTTGTTTATATGCTTCAATCGTCGATCGGTGAGCTGTACTCGATCTGATACACTGAACAGCTGTACTATATTCATTTCGCCATGCTCCAGAAACAATACTTCCATCTTCTTGCTCTGTGTCTACGAAGTTGGGTGGACAGTATATTCTGTTTTCCATTGACGTTAAATCATTTATTGTTTTCAAAAAATTATGCAAACATATTGTCGCCATTACTATTGTGTCTACAGTTTTTGGGTGCATACAAATGGGTTTTCTAAATATTCGCCATCTTGATACCAGAATTCCAAAACTATTTTCGATAACTCTTCGGGCTCGTGATAATCTGTAGTTGAAGATTCTTTTTTTTGATTCCAAATTTCGTCCAGAATATGGTCTCATTAGATTTGTAGATAAATGGAATGCTTCATCCGCGACAAAAAAACATGGTGACTTTTTATCACTTCCGGGTAAGATGCTTTCGCCTCGTGGTAGATGTAAATTGCCATTGACTAAAGCTTTATTAAAATCGGACCTTGAAAATATCCCTGCATCATTACTACTACCATATGATCCGCAGTCTATCAATGTAAATTTGTAGTCACTATCACATGCTGCCATCAAAACAATACTAAATGTTTTCTTATAATTATAAAACAGACTTCCAGAATTTGGCGGTGCTTGTATTTGAATATGTTTCCCGTCTATTGCTCCGCAGCAATTTGGAAAGTTCCATTTCCTATAAAAGCCTTCAATTATTTTTAGCCATTGTTCTTCGGTAGGGGCTTGGAGATATATCGGTGACAATACTTTTATGATCATAGCACAAGTTTCCTTAATTACATTTCTCGCTGTAGATTCTCCAATTCTGTATGCTAACGCAATAGACAAGATTTGATTTCCTGTGGCGAGATATCTATAATAATGAACACAGATCGACTAAATCAGTATGTTAACACTTCTTTTAATATACATTATAGTTATTAAAAGAGATACAAACCTTAAAGTTAAAGCAAGACGTTGCTCTGGTACTAAGGCACGATGACTCTTTTTGGTTAAGAATGGTTTCATTATTTCTAATAAGTGATTGAAAACATTTACGGACATTCTGGTATATCTGAAGAACATATAAGGATCAGTTTTCATTTCTTGTAATAAATGATCAAAATCTCCTTGAATGGGACGTCTTATATTAATTGGTCGCACCCAATATTTTCTATTAATCCAACGAAAAGATGTTTGTCTTTTTAATATATATGTACCAATCATTAGTACAACTAATATTATACATACGCTAGATCTTCTTCGTTATCCATTGTCTGTAAAACAAACATTACAAATTGTAGCAATTTTGAATATCTTTGAGAACAATGATATTATATTTCTATTTCAAATTGTAAATATCATCAAAATATACACACACATTTCTAATTAAATATAGGTAAATGCTTAGAATTAATCTATACTATATAATATTTTCTTTCTTTTTATATATTGTCATCCCGATAAATATATAATTATTTTCCTTTCATTTAGGTTAGACACTTTAAAATATTTTTTATGCTATCGCATAAAGTGTGTTCTAAAACTCATCGAAAAGCATTGCAATACTGTGATTGGTAGAAAGTAACATATTAAGTTTACTGTGTGCCTTGATTCTACTGCTTACGGATTACTGCTTAAGTCTTACTGCTTATTTTTTTTATGTGCCACGGCCTTTAAGGCGTAAGACTTAAAAAATTGATCAATCACAGTCAAGTATGAAGAGAATACTTGACTGTGATTGGTCAATTTCTTAAGACTTATGGCCTTCACACATAAAATTCCATAAGCACGTAAGACGTAAGCAGTAAGAAAATCAACAAATCGAAATTCTTAAGGCCTTTGCACGTACAAAAATTTTAGTCGTAACCGTAAGGTCGTAAGAAAACTGACCAATCATAGTTGATTATTCTTTTATCGCAGAAAGAACACTCGACTATAATTTGTCAGTTTTCTTACGACCTTATGGTTACGACTAAAATTTTTGTACGTGCAAAGGCCTTTACGTTTTAATATGGCTGCCTTACTACTCGACTGTGATTGGTCGATTTTCTTACGCTTACGTCTTACGTACTTATGGAATTTTATGTGTGAAAGTCATTTAAATTACCTAAATTGTAGACTCGGCCTAATATAACCTAAAAAACGCCTACAACGCGCATTGCGTTCGACACATAGGTGTGTTCTAAAATTTACTGCTAGTTCACGTTATGTATAGATTTCCCCAGTGACAGTAAATTTTGAAACAGCCGTAATAGCAAAGTTCTACAATAATAAAGGCCTTCGCACAAGATGTTCCGTATCGCATTACGTTACGTTAAGTATAGATCATAAATTTAACTCCGTACGTAAACTTAAATTTCAGTCAACGCACAGAAAAAATCGTAACGTAAAGGTCTTTACGTTACGATTTTTTTTGTGCGTTGACTGAAGTTTAAGTTTACGTACGGAGTTAAATTTATGATCAATACTTAACGTAACGTAATGCGATACGGAACACCTTGTGCGGAGGCTCTAAGAGTAAACATACAGTATATTTAAAAGTAATGAAAAAAGATATTCGAATATTTGAATGTTTAAAAAGAATTACATATATTTTATGTTTGTCCTAGAAAATACCATTATTCATAGAATTTTTCCAGGACAGTCCTGGAAACTGCCTTTATGCAAGTGTCTTGAAAAATTTTTTAAATGTAATATTTCAAAAACGGAAAAAAATATCTAATTTTTTAAGATCAAAATGAGTTTGAATCTTAATGCTTTATTAAAATTCAGTAAAAAAATATCAGATTTCTAAATGTACCGGAACAAACCCTTTGACATATATATATATACATATATATACAGGGTCTACCAAAAGTGTGGAAACCCCTAAATATCTCGGAAAATATACGTTTTACAGAAAAGTGTTTCCAACAAAAGTTGTAGGGTTTAAGAAGATCTATATACTGATTCTATCAGTTTGACCTTGGATGGCGTCGTCAAGGTCAGGTCAAGGTCACATTGACTTTTTTAAATGACACCCCCTACATTTGATTGCATATTCTTATAGCTTAATTCAAGAGCTTTCCAAAACACTATAATAATGTTCATTTTTATTAAGTACTTTGCGAGTTATGAGGGTTGAATGATAGAGTAGCGCCGGTATTAACATTATCCAAGGTGTACTACATGGAGGTTACTCGCTCGGATTTGCATCTGTTGTGTGTGTGATCCAGCTAACTAAGGCAAGATCGGTCGTGGATCCAGTCAGCAAAAGCAAAGACCCAACCAAATTACAATCGAGCATTTAAAGACCTGGAAAGCAATCGACATAGTAAACAGTAAATAAATTTGTGGATGCTCATTTATCATAATAATTGTTCGAAATGTGTGCGTGTGCGTGCGTGCGGTGCGTGTATACAGAGATCAGGTTAGGTTGCACCAAACGATTGCAAATGTGTTTCAATGTGTTAAAGTAAATTCTGAAAGTGGCTGCCATTTACTTCCTGACAATATGCTAATCTTTGGTAGAATGTAGAAATGACTTTACGATTCGTTTCAAAAGGTATCAAAGCCATTTCATCCCTTATTCGCTGTATCAATTCGTGAATGGTTTTAGGTTTTGTTCTGTAAACCTTACTCTTCAGATATCCCCATAGATAATAATCAAGAGGAGTTAGATCTGGTGACCGAGGTGGCCAATCCTCTCCTCCCTCATTTCCGTTCCTTCTTCCTATCCACCGTAGCGGAAAAGTCTCATTTAAAATACGACGTGGTCCTGCACCAAAATGAGCAGGAGCTCCATCATGCTGAAACCATATTTCTTGGAAATTATTTGGAAAAGTATTCTGTATGGCTGGAATTATTTGATCAACAAGTAATCTCTCATACCTTTGAGCGTTCAAATATTCTTCAAAAAAAAACGGCCCTATTAAATAGCCATCTATTATTCCGCACCATACATTTATTTTTTGTGGATGTTGTGTGTGAGTTTCCCGCACCCAATTCGGATTCTCATCTGACCAGAAACGAAAATTTTGATTATTAACTTCTCCCGTTAAGGTAAAAGTTGCCTCGTCTGTGAAAACAATTTGATAAGGGAAGATGGGCCGGACATCTATTAGTGCCATCATTCTTTCACAGAAATGTATACGACGCTCCTCATCTCCGTTTTGCAATTCTTGAACGTATTGCAATTTATATGGATGGAACTTGTTCTTCTTTAAAATTCTCCAAACCGACATGGGAGCAATATCGTGAGTTTGAGCGACTCTCTGAACACTAGAATTGGGATCTTCAATAAATGTCTGCAGAACATCAAGTTGTTTTTCTTCGTTGGTTGCAGACAATGGTCTTCCTGACTTAGAGCGATTTCTTACGCTACCAGTTTGTCTAAAACGTTCTATTGTTTTTAACACAGTGGACTTATTAATTCGACGGTTCGGATACGTGTCATTAAATAATCGAACGACATCAGAGAACGATCTTTCGTTATCACCCCATCCACGCATCATGAGGATAGTGATTCTTTCACGTTCCGACAAGTCGCCAGCCATTTTTAAAACGTTTAATTTTAATTAATCGTACGTTGTATTTGGACGATAACAATTAATTTCTGCTTGCTCAAAGCTGAAGTTAGAAGGTGCTCGTTCTTTGATAGCTTTATACATTCTTAGTTGAATTTTAAATGCGAGTTAGACTGCATGTAGTGCGTCACATAGCGGTAAATGAAGGAACTAACGAGATGTTTCATACACGTTTTATGGAGCAATTTTTTGGCAATTTGACTTCAGCGAAATATGAGGATATGTTGAGGAATCGATCTTGCCTTAGTTAGCTGGATCACACACACAACAGATGCAAATCCGAGCGAGTAACCTCCATGTAGTACACCTTGGATAATGTTAATACCGGGCGCCTACTCCTAATCATTCAACCCTCCATAACCGCAAAGTAACTTAATAACAATGAACATCGCTATGCTCCATAGTGGCTGATTTCTTTATTTGAAGTCGTAGACTAACTTTCCAATTTTATACATCTGCTTAGTTAAACTATTATTTCTTCATTGAGTACTTTTCGAGTTATGAGGCTTGAATTTTATTTTTTACATAAACCATAAATATTAGTAACCATCATTTTTCGATTATCTTACCTTATTTTATGTACAAAATAATGAGAGGATCAATTGGTGTGAACACATAGTTTTTCTAAGAAAAATATGGAATGTTAATTGCAATTACATATTTTTTCTTAGCCTATGTGTTTCTTACACCAATTGATTCCTCTCATTATTTGTACATAAAGTATGAAGGTAGATAATCGATGATGGTTACTAGATAAGTTATATTCAACCTATAACTCAAAGTACTTAATAAAAAGAACATTATTATAGTGTTTTGGAAAGCTCTTGAATTAAGCTATAAGAATATGCAATCAAATGTAGGGGTGTCATTTAAAAAAGTCAATGTGACCTTGACCTGACCTTGACGACGCCATCCAAGGTCAAACTGATAGAATCAGTATATAGATCTTCTTAAACCCTACAACTTTTGTTGGAAACACTTTTCTGTAAAACGAATATTTTCCGAGATATTTAGGGGTTTCCACACTTTTGGTAGACCCTGTATATATATATATATATATATATATATATATATATATATATTGTGACGTGGCCGTCCCGTCGCGTCTATCCGCCCCGGCAATTATGACGGAGCGCGAGCCGAGTGGCCGCGCCAAAGGTCGAGAGAGAGAGAGAGAGCTACCGTACTCCCCGGAGAGACGAGCGAATGGGTATAATTGCGTGTAATATTAATTCTTTTTTTTGTATTTTTTTAATTTGTATCGAGTTCGGCTAGAGGCACCTCACCACCGAAGAACAGGATAGAACAGCATCGCCGCTCCGCGACAGCTATAAACGACAGCCGAGGGAAATTCGGAAGAACGGAGGAGCCTGACTCCGAGAACCCGGCATCGGAAATCCGAACAAGAGAGAGCAGCACTGCCTCTCTTCGACAGCCGGGAATGACAGCCGATACGACAACCATCCTCCAAGAGAGGATCGGCGAGGGAAGGACCTCACCCGAGCCGAACAAAGGCCCGCGGCAGCATTCAAGCTTGGCGCTATTTCGCGCAGGACGCGATAATGCCTCGCGTGGCGCGCGAGGCGCCAGGACCTCGCGCGTGTCGGCCGCTAA